TAACCATTTTAAAGTTGAATATCCATTTTTAGCCATCTTTAAGTTCATTACCCATTTTAAGTTCAACTCATAAATCCATTTTCAATGTCATATCCACTTTTAATTCAAAACCCATATTTTAGAACTATTTTCCTTTTTATACTTCAAAATTTATTTCTAAACCATAACCCGTTTTTTCTATAAAAAAAAAAAAATACAAATTCCATTGTCCAAATCCAAGATCCGTGTTTCATTATTCAATCCATGAACCAGATTTTCACATCCAACTCAAACCATTTTTGAGTCATATCCAAATAAATCTGTTAATCCATTTTTCATATCCAACTTTTAATTCAAGTTCCAATTCCAAATTCCATTATCCAAACCATATCTATTTAAAACCAAAAACCAATTATCCAATTACACCATTCATATCCAAATTGAATCCACATATTCATTTTATAATCCAAACTAAGTCTAATTACCCAAAACCATTGTTCTATATCCAATTCAATCCAATGTCCAAACATATTTGTCCAAATGACAAAAACAAATAAAAAGAGGAATCCATAACAGGAAAATACATAGCAGAAACAAAAAATAGCAACAGGTCATAACAGAAATAAGATTACATAAATGCTTCATGATAGTTACAAAAAAAGAACTCATAGCAGTAGAGAATTTACAATGGCAGTAAAAAAAAATATAGCAATGGAAATGCATATCTGAGAAAATCATAACAGAGGGAACTTCCCTAACAGAAATTCTAACTAACTTTATAAATCACCCAGCTTCTTCTTCATTTAGGATTCATTCCTCATTCTTTAGTTTTTACAAATCTTCATTTTCACTCTTCTTCATCACTTCCATAATCTTCACCTTCCACTAACACTCAACTTCATTCTTCAAATCTTCACCATTCCATAACTGCAAGTTCTGCATAATCACAACATACACTGCCGAATTCTCACAAACTCTGCAAAAACAAATTCACAAGAACAATAATTGCAGATCTACTCAACAAATAACGCATCAACGAGGAATTCATGGCAGCGTAAAGAAATTCGCATAACCAAGAACTCGACAACAACAAGAAGAAGAAGAGAGAATTGCACGCAAGAAAAGAGGGATTCGAGTCTATTAACGTACCTGAACGAGCTCCGATTCGACGTAAGTTCTTCAATTCACCACTTCTTCTTCTTGTGTGTGTCTTATTCCATGGCATAGGTTTTGGTTGAGAGTGTTTCTGATTCAAATTTTTGAGACAAAATTGAGATAGATTGTAGGAGTTTGATCAAGTAGAGAGCGGAGTGAGTTGAGAGGGAAGGCGAGCATGATGTAACGTCGCTGAGGTCTCCGTCGCCTCCGGCGTGAGGCTGTGACACGGCGGCAAACGAGGTCGCAACGATGGTTGAGAGAAGGAGAAGACGACAAATCGATGTGATTTACGCTGGTTGAGTAGTTCTTGACTTCTTTCACATAATTATGTTTTTTTTTTCTGTTTTCCTTTTCCTCATTTGGTTTGGATCAGGCTCAAGCCCAAACACATTACTACTTCATACTCCCTCTGTTACTTCTACACCCACCCTGGGACAATGACCAAGGCCATATCGGGCCTAGCAACCTGGCCTTATGCCAGTATGCTATTTGCACCCTAGCTTTACATAGCGTACCTCCCCTGCACATCTCTTATATCTTTACTTAGATTTTGCTTTTATTTTTTAGATTTTGATTGTTTTTAGTAGAATTTAATTGAAATTTAGATTGTGTTTTAATAGAATTTTGATTAAATTTGTGGCGCTTTTTCTTTAATTAGAATCTTGATATTGTAAAATTGTGACTAAATTTTTAATTAGAATTTCTGAATGAATCTTAATCAAATTGCTTGTAGATTTAATTGAAGATGGAGTTGCTTTCTCTTATTGAAACTTTGATTAAATTTGTTTAGTGATGTTGATAGGATTTTTGTTAGAATTTCTTTTTGAGTTTTATTCAATTCATAGTGAATAAAATGAATCATAATGAACGTAAAAAAAACTAATAATACTTTAAAAACCATGGATCATTTGACCTTTGCACTGGAGTTTTGGACCATGTACTAATTGTTTAAACCCTCGCTTTGGAGTTATGACCATGGACTAATTGAACTAAACATTTGCTTTGAAGTTTTGGACTATGAACCATAGGAGCCCTTTGCTTTGGAGGATTCTTTGGACTATTTAGACAATGGACTTAACATAACCAACATTAACACACTTTGACCTAATTCACCTTGATTGATTTTTCATTTGCTTGGTGCTTGATTTTATTGGTGATTATTTTAATGGTTCTTGATGTGTTTAGTGCTGATGTTTTTTTATGACTATTTGTGCTTGCTTGCTTTTCTTCACATCTTCCCTTATGATTCTCTTGATTCAATTTAATCCTTGATTAAATTGAATTAAGATAGACATTAAGGTCTAGATCCAAGCATGACAACACGATTAGGGTTTCCCTTTCATCCTTACCTTAGGGTCATTGATGCATGATAACATTAGGTTAGATTCTCTTCAATCTCAATCTTAAGTCCATTTTGCATGACAACAATTAGGATCAGGTTTCCTTTTAGACATTGTTTTTCCTCTTTGCATTGCATATTCTTTTCTTTTAAAAGACAAAAACTTATTTCCTTTATCAAATTAAAAAACACTTAATAAATACGATAAATATAAATACGTCACGAGCCTTAAGTACATGTGAAAAGATGAGTAAGAGCTTTCCTTACCTATTCTTAGAGTATTTTGTACGTGAGACGCTTGGCTCGTGTGCAAAAAGTATTCGCTCCCGTTTTCTTAGACTTTAGTATAATACATATCTCAAATACTTTAAAAACTAAAGGATAATATACTCAAATACCGCCGACCTTGAGGGATCATTTGATGTATCTCCTAATAAAACACTTCAACAAATTCAAACTTTTTTACCTTTGAGTTTCTTTTTCCTTTAAAACCTTTTCAGAAAGGATATGCTATTTCCATTCTACCGCAAACAGACAATGTCTAACTGCTAGGATGTGAACTTAACATCGTCCATAAAAAACACCCAACAGATCAACTTTTTCAACAAGAACTACAAAGTTCTGAAGATCGTCGAAAAATGGGGCGGGTTAAGAAGATCAAAACAGAGGGTGAGATTTTGAAATCTTGGCTTAAACTGTCGAAAATGACAGATTAAACAGACGTGCCAAATTGATTTAATCCATTTTTCCACCCATAGCAACAAATTCATGCAACACGCCTTACTTAATGACAATGCCCTTCAATTATTATATGGCAAAATTTTTTGCCAAGACGATTCAAATGCAATGTTAACCTCATTCTCCAACACATAACAAAGTAGAGATTGAGATTCGTATTAGGGATGAAACAAAGCAATTTATATGAGTTAGAACCGAGTGCTTCACCCCTTTCTCCTCAATGTCATATCTGAAGTCATATGACTCATTTATGCTATCAAGCTAGTGTCCTTAATTTTACCAATATAAACTTTAATTTATTAAATAAATGTGTGACCTTAATTTTAACAACATAAACTTTGAATTATACTTTGAGTTATCAAATAAATATGAGACCTTAATTTTAACAACATCAACTTTGAGCTTGACCCTAAAAAATTAGTAAAATATATGAAAAAATCTTATAATTCATAACCATTATCTCGGAAATGGGTTAGGTGACTTTGACTTTGCATACCTTTATTAATTTTGATTATGATTTAGGAGAAAGAAAATAAAAAAATTGGAGGAAAAGTAAATGAGTAAGAGAAACATAAGAGAGATTGAGAAAAAGTCACGGTAACTTTCCAATCACCCAACCCCAGCCCCATCATCTCCTAGTTGATTTTGCTAACATACAAGTCAATGAAGTTGCTTTAACTTTATATACGAAGATCCAATTTTTAACTAGTTTCTATAATTGTATTGATATCCAAAATGCATTCTAACTAATTTTCCAAATGAAATACTATAAGCTTTTCTATTTAAAAAAAAAAAAAAAAATTTAACTCGACGATTCGGAGCAAAAAGACATGTAAAAATTAGAAAAAGTACACCACCAAAGGTTAAAAAAGTTAGTTTATCGTACAAATAAAAAAATGGTTTGTTACTCCCTTTTTACAAAATAAAATCAAATACAAACGAAAATCTGACTACCAGTGCCAAGTGGACAGCGACGCCGTACAGCAACCCATTCATTCCTCGCCGTGAGTGACCAGCGCAACCCAACTAACCCAAACCCTAATTCTCACAATCTCCCCAGTTTTTCATTCGTATCATGAAGATACAACCCTAATTCCCCAAAATAATTTCCCCTTTCACCCCTCGTCTCACATATACAATTTCTTAGCTTTTTTATTTTCCTTGTAATTGTTTAATTTTCTCTTCTTTTCTTTGTTTTCAACACCCCCGTAGATCAAGTTTCAGCACCATGCTTTTTTTTATTCAGCTTTGACGATTCCTAAACGGTAATTTTGATTTTGAGTATTCACATTGCTGTCTTGTGGAGGTGATTGTTTCACTGTGTTCATTATTGGGTATTGATTGTTCCCAACTCAATTTTGATAGGGACAGGGACTGAATTAATGTAATAGTGTTGCAGAAAATTACTATGCTAAATTTCTGATTTTGAGGAAATATTAGAGAAAAACAAATTAAACAAATTTGGATTTTGGGTGTTTTTTTCTTTGATAATGGAATATTGGATGATTTTATATTATGGGTTTTGGAGGGGAGAGGAAAGAATACATTGGTTGTTTTAAACGGGAATTCAACCAATTCATGCAGTTTATTAGTATGTTAGAACTTGATGGATTAAATTAACACAGAAGTGTTTTTTGTGTGTAAAAGTGTTGGCATTTCATTGGTAGTTTATTTGTCAATTTTAATGGAAATGTTGTACTTTTAGCTGGCTTGTGATGTACGTTATGTTGTTGGTGCAGAATGGTCTAGTGTGTAAATTTTTGGAAGGTGCTTATCTGTTAAAAGCATGAGTAGCAGTGACGTAGATAAAACTTTAAAAGAGAAGGAGCCTAAGACGCCTCCAGTGGCTACATCACAGGTCTTTTTGTGGTTTCTTTTTGTTTTTGATGGTATTGATGATTGAGTACTTTATGTGTGATGCCAACAACAACCTGTTACCTTTTCCAGGAGCAGTCTTCAACGGCAACTGGCACTCCGGCAGTTAATCCTGAATGGGCTAACTATCAGGTTTTTGATGAAAAAGTCTTTGCAATCATGTCTTTTTATTAATGTCAAGCTTGGATTTTGATCCACAACTCTTTCATTCTACAGGCATATTCTCCTATACCTCCACCTGGATACATGGCATCAAGTCCCCAAGGCCACCCATATATGTGGGGTGTTCAGGTAATTGCTACATACGTAATTATTAGTCAATCTCAGTTTCCGAGTTCTGAAGCGATTTGGTGAACATTTAATACTGTTACTAACATCACTGCGGCCGTCACTCTCAATAGTTTATCCTATTACAATGATCAAATATACGACCTAATGGGAACCAAATTCCTTCAGCTGTGTAAACCAGTGGCGAATATAGATATTTTTGGCTTTTACTTGACAAGATAATATCATTGTTAAACTGAAATTAGAAGTAGCTTGTTCATTTTTATTTTTGAGCTTTTATGTTTCGGGATATGGGTATGAATAGCAGTATAAATATCAGTGTGTGCACTTCTGTTGACAAACATTTTTGAAAATTGAGTATAGAAGAATTTATCACATATGAAATATAAAAACCGAAACATATAGAATTTAAATTGTATGCGATTACGATTTCCATAATTTTCCAAGTCATTTATAAAAATACTCTAAAATATATGAAGTCTACAACTACAGAAAAAGGGATGAAATAAAACCAGTGTTTGCGGAATCGAGAGCTTAACTACTGCTTACTACAATTTTAACACTTAGAAAACTCACCCGAGTCACCTCGTAACATCATTCATCCCGCTATCTTTGAAGCTCCATCCCTGCAGCAATACACATGAGATCGGGAGTGGTAGGATCATTTCATGATTGTGAAAACGGCACCATGATCGTTATATGACCCATGGTTAAACTATATTTTTCTTTAACTGTACCAATATGTTTAATTGTTTCCTGATTCTTTTTATTGGTGAACAATTTTTCTGTGAGTCTTTGATGCCCGCCTTTATTTTTATTACTTCTTACGTAATTAATTTGAGTTTATTTTAATATTATTATGTATATGGTATTTTCTTTAGACATCTTATTTTGTATGATTATGAACTTAGTTTAATGTTGTGATTTTGAGGTTATTTTCTTCATCTATGATAATTTCTATGAGCAATTCACTTTTTTAGAGTGTAAGTGAGTATTATCAACCATTCAATAACAAATTAAAGGTAGATATAGTAGTTACATCATAACAAATCATGCATTTGTTCAAATAGAAACCCTTGATAACAAATTAAAGGTAGAGTGTAAATGAGTAATATCAACCAGTTATTTCTATCATTTATTTATTTTTGGTTGTTTTCCAAGTGTACTTGTGTATAGCTTGCTACACCAATACTAAAAAATATCTACTTTGAATTGAGTTTTCCTCCACGCCTCCTTTGTTTCATTGATGAAATGCTTTCATGCAGCATATTATGCCTCCCTATGGCACCCCACCACATCCTTATGTTGCAATGTATCCTCCCCATGGTGGCATATATGCTCATCCATCCATGCCTCCGGTATTCTTTCGTAGACTATGCTTTCTTGAGGTTATTGTGTTGTAATTGACCGATTTGTATAATCTGGACTTCATTAACAAATATTTGCACTTCTCTATGAATTCATTCAGGGATCTTATCCTTTTAGTCCTTATGCCATGCCTTCTCCCAATGGTATGGTGGATGCTTCAGTGAGTTTCTTTGGACTGCCTTCACCTTTTTTGCACTTCCTCTTTTTTGCCTTTGCCTCCTGTGCTGGAGTTTTCTTTATTCAAGTACGCAGAAAGTAATCTATGAACGGAAATGCAGGGAAATACTCCAGGCAGCAGTGAAGCTGATGGTAAACCTCATGAGGTGAAGGAAAAATTACCAATCAAAAGATCAAAAGGAAGTTTGGGTAGTTTGAATATGGTGACAGGAAAAAATAATGAACTTGGTAAAACACCAGGGGCATCTGCCAATGGAATTCATTCCAAAAGGTAAGATGCAGTGTATTGATCAACCGAGTTGTCGAATAATGCCATCTTCTAGGTGAATGAAAGTAATCCTGTAATCCCTGCCTGAATTCCTGTCAAATAATGGTTTGTAGAAATGTAATAATGAATTGATATAAGTAGTGGTTGTGGACTTTCTTTAGATGAGCTAGCATTGCGGGTTTTTGCATACAGCCTCAAAGATGTCTTATAAAGACGTTATATGTGTCAATTTTTACATAGAGCAGCATTGTATGTTTAACTTCTAATGCCTTCAAACACCAGTTACTTTATTCATTTTTTATTTATTTTCTAATTTATCAATATTTCTGCATCATTGCCTTGTCTAGTGTACAAAATTTATTGGTAGAGTTGACAGTTGGTGGTTAATCACTTCATCCAAGTCCCTTGAGTGCTTTAGTTTCCTATTTAAAATTGTATACTAGCTGCTACTATTCTGATATGAAAACTTGTATTTACAGTGGTGAGAGTGCAAGTGAAGGTACTAGTGAAGGAAGCGATGAAAACTCCCACAATGTAAGTTCTGTGCCACTTGTTAGTTAGCCACTGCTTGGTCAATATTTCTTCAAACAAGAAGCGACACAACCTTTCATCCATGTTTACTCTTGCATGCACTTATTTATGAAAATATCTTCTGTGCAATATGAGGATAACATTTTGTTGCAAAACAACAAGAACCAATTAATGTTGACATTTTACCGCTTAAAATCATTTTCTAACATGTTCATTTAAAAAAAATGTCTAATGTGTTTGAAGAATTGGAAAAGAAAATGTAGGGTGCATAGCTCCTACTGCTCATCTTCTTGTAGTCTGTTTAAGAATTACAGATTTAGCACAGTTGTTAGTCAAATTTTAAACTGAAACATCTTCAAGAAAATTCTACGTACATCTAGAATTGCAGACCTTCCTAATTATCAACATGGATTCTGATCGAGCCTTAAAAAAAAATCAAGTGATTTGTTTTAGTTGGTGTAGTAGTTATTTCCATAAGCTGTTGCACATGTAATTCAATCATTAAGCTAACATACGAATGTCTATGTTGAAAGAAAAATAATTGAAAGATGCGTAGTTTGGACTATAGGTGTAAACTACGTAGTGGAGCTATATTTATTTAGACATGAATAATAAATATGAAGATTTACAATCAGCCTAGCTACCATAATTACTTAGTGCTACATCTATTTACATTCACCAAGCTTTTTCCATATACAACTTATATCCAAAGACCTTTCAAAGACTTGGTGAAAACATATGCCAATTGATCATTTAGACCAGCAAAGCTTTACATTATTTGTTGGATTAGCTTAATATACTAATTAAGGTTTTCAAATTGATTGCCAGTGCTATTGGTCGGACAAATTTATTATATGAATTGATATATGCACTAAAGCTTTAAATGTTTATCTTAGCGTACATGTTCATTATCTGGTACGTCTTTATTCTTAAATCGCCGGGGTTTACACCCACACATAGTACAATCTGTTCATGATCCACCCTGTTTAGAATCTTAAGAAGGTTTAGATTGATCTTCCAAAATGACAGGGTTTTCTACATGATAGCATGCATATCTTCTGGGTAATGCCTAAAATTATTAGTTTTTTTTGCTGATTTTTCACTGTTTACATGCATGGTATTTATTTCAATAGGTTTTGCAGGATTCTCAATTGAAATCCGGGGAGAGACAGGATTCTTTTGAAGGTCCGTTATTGTTACATTTGTAAATACTGTGTGTTGATTTGAGTATATAAAACAATTATGCTTGTTACAACTGAAATGTTTTGCTGCATTACAGATGAGCCGTCTCAAAATGGAAGTTCAGCGCATGCTCCTCAAAATGGGGTACTTAATACACCTCATACAGTCGTTAACCAGACTATGTCTGTCGTGCCTATGTCTGTTGCTGGTCCTCTCGCAGCAGTTCCTGGTCCCACTACTAATTTAAATATAGGAATGGATTACTGGGGCACACCAACTTCATCAACCATTCCTGCAATGCATGGAAAGGTACCTTCTAGTGCAGTTGCTGGAGGGATGGTTAATGCTGGGCCTAGAGATGGTGTTCATTCACAACCTTGGCTACAGGTTAACTTTGTCATCAGGTTATGTTATTTTGCTGCATCATTACTTTGCTAAACCTCTCATCTTTTCTGGCTAACTATTAGGATGAAAGGGAGCTTAAAAGACAAAGGCGGAAGCAGTCTAATAGGGAATCTGCACGTAGATCCAGGTTGCGAAAGCAGGTAATAGAGTCAGCCTTTCCTACTTCTGCCTCGATAGTCATAAATCAAATTAATGTTGGTGTTTGTGGTTTTCAGGCTGAATGTGATGAATTAGCTCAGCGTGCCGATGTTTTGAGCGAAGAAAATGCCTCACTCCGTGCTGAACTAAGCCGGATCAAGAGTGAGCATGCGAAAGCACTTGCTGATAATGCAGCCCTCAAGGTGATTTTGAATTCTTGTTATGTTTTGGTATCTCGATATTGTCTATTCCGCATACCATTTGATACCTAATAATATTTCAACCCCGATTCAAATAAGGGTTAACAAGGTCTGGTGGACCAAGTGGCCATTTCACTTTCAAATTGCATTGCATTCTCAAATTCTGTAAAGATTTATGCAAATACTAAACCTGCTATCTGATACAAAGATATATTGATTTTACAGGCGAAACAGGTGGAGATACCGAGGAACGAGGATATTGTGCCGGGCCAAAATGATCAGCATGTGGGTGGAGAAGACACTAAACAAAGTGGTTAGAGTTAGACAGAGGCTGTGCAGGGTGTTCATTAGGATCTAGCTTCCTTCTTGATGTTGCTTTTCAGGAAGATAACCTAACCATATAGCAACAAGTCATTGTTTTTGGACAGCTTCTAGTTAAAATTATATCAAAGTCGATCTATCATATGTAATACTAGGACCGGTTTATCTTATAAGATCCCTCATTCTAAATTTATCTTGCTTTTGACAGCAAAACCCAACCTGGATTGTAGGTTCATGCCTTATCTGCTGTTTCAAATATTGGTGTTGGCGATAAGAAATATGGTTTAAACAATTTATCGAACAAAGAAAGTTGATGTATTTGGTTTAAAACTTAAATTAAATATATAGTTTTCTTTAATCAAATTTTATTTATATGATTGAAGAAATTATATGATATGAAATTGTATGAGATCTTGATTTACAAATCTTGGGACCACTGAGATTGACAAATGACAGGTCTTGGGACCCCTGAGATTGACAAATGACAAATGATCTCAACGATTAAGAGTGCCACATTACTACATGTGTATATGTAATTATAATTATAAGAACTCTGGACTATAAATTTTGAGTTAAAGTTAAAATACTTTGGAAGTGTATATTTAAATTTATTTTAGAGATGTATCTCTGAAATGAATTGGGGATTATATTGCGGTAGAACTATTATTCTTTCTTATTTTTAAAAATTCTTAAAATTCTCTTCAAACACTCAAATTTATTTCCATCACCAAGTCCATAATCAAACAACCAAATTCAAAGGATTATCAATCAACACCAGAAACATCATCCAACACTGAAGCAAAGTGAAATATTATAAGTTGGTTATGTTTTGATAAGTTTTTTGAGTTTTTGTATAAAAGAGTAGAAAATGATGATTTAGATATCAAACGAGTAGGAAATGTAAGAATGTTAGTTTATACATGCTATGGAACATGTATGTTTGATTTAGTAGCAAAGTGAAGCATTATAAGTTGGTGATGTTTTGATAAGTTTTTTGAGTTTTTGTATAAATGAGTAGAAAATGATAATTTAGGTATCAAATAAGTAGGAAATGTAAGAATGTTAGTATATACATGCTATAAAACATGTATGTTTGTTGAAAATCACGATTAAACCATTTATTTTTAGGTTTGTATTTCTGCATTGCCTCCATTGATGAACTGAAGAGTTGTAGAAAATTTCGGAGATGCATTTTCGGAATTTTTTAACGTTTGGTTCCATATTATCAGGAGATGCATCTCCGAAATTTTTCAACGTTTGGTTTCATATTACCCAGAGATGTATCTTCGTAAAATAACAGTCTGTTTTTTTTCTTCTTTCTTATTTGTAGTGTTGTTTGCTTACACTAATTGTTTGGTTTACTTAAACTTACAAGCATTATGGATGATAGACATTATATGCTAAGACAGATGAGGATTGCACAACATGCATCAGTGCGGCAGAAGAAGAGTTAGGTTTTGGAGGCTCCTGCTCACTGTGGTCATGCGAATCCATCTACTTTTGAGGCTCATACTTTTCCATCTTCTTCTTCCCGTAGGACAGGGGTTTCACCTACCAACGCATCACTCCCTCCATCCTCCCACAGGCGTCAGGTTTCACCTATTTAGGCGTAAGAGGTATCCGACTCACCGGAAGTACCGCATGCACCATTGCCACCTCCGACGCATCATGCTTTGAGCCAGTGCCACCTCATACTACTGATATTACTAATGCTGTTGAGCAAGTGCCAGCTTCTACTGCTGATATTACTGATCCAGTGCCACCTGCTACTACTGATGTTGCTGAGCCAGTGCCACATTCTGATGGTGAGGCTTTTGAGGATGCTGAGCTAGAGGCATTTGGAGGAGGCTCTGTAGACTTGTCACTACTGCCTTTGTATCCATACCATACTGCCAAACATATTTGGGATGAAGAGGTAGCATTAGTTGGATTCATTCTTTTAATTTACATTTAATTTAATTTACAAATTTCTGAAGTTGATTTATTTTTCTGCAGGAATGTGATCCGTTGAAGATTATTAACCACATGTGAAAGATTACTAGCTTTCCCCAATCGAATGATGAGTGGTTTCAGACAACTTTGTTCCTATCTGGGATGAAGGGCTTGTGCATGACCGATTATATTATGATCAACCACGAGATGCTTAATGCATTTGTGACACATTGAGACTTTCTCATTTCAATGCCCACTTGGTGAGACGTCTATCACACTCGACGACGTGTCGTGTTTGCTGCATCTTCTGATCAGGGGGAAACTTCTAGATCATGAGAGGATTAGCAAAGGCGAGACACTCGAGATAATGGTAGACTATTTGGGAGTTGGCCCAAGGCTGCGATGACAGAGACATATAGAATCAGGTGGGCTCAAGCTAGGTTTGAATTCTGGAAAAAGGTATACACAGATGAGATTGTTAGAGCACAACAGGCTGTAGGGGATGGCGAGCAGGTGGGGCTCCATAGAGATATGTTATGAGAGCATACCTACTATATTTGTTTGACACTGTAACTTTTGTGAACACGAGTGCCACTTATACATATATCGTCTACCTACGGTACTTCGAGCGGAGCTGTTTATTTGGTCTACATGTACTCGAAGCTATCAGATGACTGTAGGTGAAAGATAAAATAGGTCATCGATAGCATCACACTGAGTATATTTATTTGTCTTTTAATATTTCTGTGTCATTTTTATTTCATCTTTACAACATTATACTAATGATTCGTGTGTTCCAAACTTTTCAGGCTTTGATCCTCCAACACTTTCCGCGCATCTCCAGTTGGGTGAGCGTACCAACTTACACTGAAGATATGTCACGTGCTACTGCATTTGTCTCGCTAAGAGGAAACCAGGTGACATAGTCATTTAAAGTGTATTTTGACTGCTTGATTGTCGAGGACATGCACTTCAATAACTATGTGGATCACGTCTCCCTTCTCTTCATCTTCCTGAGCGCGTCATGCAGCAGTTCAGATGCACTCAGACCATTTCCAGACACCATGTTGTCTCTGCTTCTCCTACTTTGACACGTAGACAGATGAACGACATATTTGATGATTATGAGAATCATTTGGTTTTGGGGGATGCACAAAGTACCATAGCTGAGAGCGATTGGATTTACGTCGACGGATACATAGGTGGTTCTTTAGGGTGTCACATCCGTATGTGGTGCAGGATATTCTAGAAGATCCACTGAGGCCAACTCATCAGGAGATACTAGAGAAGGAGTAGACACAACTAGATCATGCTGAAGATGTCTTGTCTAGATGCCGTTGCATAATGGAAATTGCGTAAACATGCATTGACAGAGGTATCTTTCCTGATGGGTCTGATGTGAGGTAGGTCCTATATGCCATCATGAAGGAGGCACGGGGGGGGGGGGGGGGGGGGGGAGAGAGGGGGGGGGGGGCATTAATGTACCAAAGATAGCGCCGGAGAGCGGGGATGATTGATGTCCGAGGAGGCAGAGGAGATGTAGTTCGACATACGCAGTAATGCAGTAGTATAGAGTAGTTTTACTTTGAATTCATTATGGATTGTATTTTATTTCCACCTCATGCTACTTTATCGTGTATTTCAAATTTATTTATATATAACACTTTTGGACCATATGAATTTATATATGTCATTTTTTGCATATTGATTGTACGATTTAAATCTCGTCACATAACATGGTACATAACACTTATAAATTTTCATCTGAATACCCATAAACAAAACATAATACATACTATATTGTTCTGATAGGTTACAAAGATGTATCTCCGTAAAATAAACGGAGATGCATCTCTGCTACAATAAAATTGTAAAATGAGAACCGAGTGTGATGCATGGTATATGTTTTAAGTTGTTACGAAGATGCATTTCCAGTTCATTTAACGTTTCAAGGTGCGTCCAAATATTCATCTCAAAAAACTGAAATCATTTAAATATTTTTACGTGGTGCCTAAGTAATATATAAAGTACATTAAAAAATTCTCTAATTTAATATTTTTTTGAATAAAGATAAATTTTTATTTCTAAAACTGTTCCGGTATGGGCCTCACCTCGGCAGGCCCAATGCCGAAGGCGGCCCAGCAAGCGAACTGGGCACCCCCGGCACGCGCCTTCGGACGAGCAGGGCTGGACGGACGGGCTCAAGCTACCGCTCCATGTCCCTTTTCGGCGTCCATCACGCCGGACGAGCAAGACCACCCCGGGCTCCCCTCCGCGGGGAGAATAACGCGCTCGGCGCACGTTCTCCACGTGCTCCCCTCCGCGGGGACACGTCATCGGCCAACCGCCCACTTCCGAAAGAGCGGGTCAAACCCACTTTCCGGAGACCTAGGAGCGGTTGAACTAGGGCGAAGACCACGTCCTGGTCTTCACTACGCCACGTAAGCCCTAGCAGTCATTAGGGTTGGGCCTGGTCGTCCGGCCCACCTCGAATGACCGTTGGCCCAGCGCTGGGGTCTCTCTATAAATACCCTCTTCTTCAAGAGGGTCAGGTAACTCTTCTTGCCCCTTTTCTGTACTATTGCTTCCTCTCTGTCCAACTTCTTACTTGGGCGTCGGAGTGCTTTGCAGGTACACCCCCCTCCTCGTTCTTACCCCGGCGAACAGATAACCGTCCAGCGAAGTGTGGCCAGTCCGTGATCCCTCCTGATCAGGTCAGATCAGTGGCGCCGTCTGTGGGAACCTGAAACTTCCCCGTTACTCCGAGCAGAAAACCAAAAGTTTCACCAAACCTCCACGATCATGGCCAGCCCACGCCGCGATGACACTCCGCACGAGCTCGCGCTCAACACCGCCACCAACGGGAAACAGATAGGAACGGCACGCCTGACGGAAGCCGACGAAAGGGACGGGCAAACTGCTTCACCATCATCCGAGGAACGGCCCCTACAGGCCGACCATCGCCCCCCGAGCCCGCCGGCATTCCACCCCGTTCCCATCCCGGCGGGAGCAGACCCAACGGTAGCCGCTCTCTTTGCAGCCATCAACCAGACGAACCAGCTGCT